CTCTCAGCTTCCATTAAAATCACCAGATATTGATAGATCCCAAGAGCACTAAGAAAGAAATAGACCTATTATGTTAATATTATGTTGTAAAAGAAGAAGAATCCAAATTTGAAATGAATAAAACTTCTTAAATAAAAATAAGATGCATAAATTGCTGCAGTCTCAATGGAAGCTCAAGAGCAGCTATTTTTTGTTCAGCTTAGCTGGGTTTCTACAAGGCAATTTATATGACAACTCTATTTTCTCTGGCAGTTTTGCTAAAGTATGAACATAAAAATGTGCACTCCATAGGCATAAGCAAAGTTGATTAGTTTGGTTTCAGTGTGCCTATATGGTAGAAGGATTTGTAACTGAACTAAATGAAGGGATTGTCATTTTACTTTGTGTTTTATGGTCATCTTTTTTCTACATTAGAAATACTGAGTTAAAATATTTTTCCACAGCACAAATCAAAATTGTATGGCATAATTATGTGGTTCTGTGATAGTCTTTGGAATTTCACAGTTTGTTATATGAGTTGTTCTGCAGCTGTTCCCTGCAGAGGAAATACTTCCCATACACACACCTGTGCACACACATGCACACAACTACCCGTTGTACACAACTACCCATTTTCCCGTGGCTTTTCTTCCCTCTTCTCAAGGCTCAGCATCTGACTTCAAGGGGCCGGGTAGGAGAAGATGCTCCTCTTAACTCTGTGGCACTCCCACTGTCAGAAGTGTGCTTGGAAGCACTGAAATAAATCAGGCTTGAAGTATATCAGGTTGAAGCCTGAGTATCAGGAAGCACCTTTGTAAGAGCAGCTCTGTTAGTGTGGTTTAGAAGGCGCTGTCATACCAATTATGTACAGTAGTGTAGAGTTTTGTAGATGAGATCCGTCAGTGCTTAAAGAGAGAGGAGAGAAATCACTGCTTAACCTGATGCCTTTCTTCATGGAACTCGCACTTTCTCTTAAACCTGATACCATTTGCCAAAGAGGAGCGTCTCAGGTTCTCACACCTGGCAGGGGGTTACAAACTTTGCTATTTTTTTTGTGTGTAACATTTTCGTTGAGGAAACAAAGTCCAGTTAGTGCACAACATTCTGCTGTTTGTATGGGAACTCCAAGAGACCCCTTCCTGAAGCCCCAGGACTGCAAAGGGGCAGCTTAAGCTATTTGCAGGATGTGTGCTTGAGGCATGCAATGGCAAATATCTCTCACGAAATCAACTGCGAATCGTCTGAACAAGGTAAAGCACCACGTGGAGCAGATGACTTTCCGGAGAGATGTAATTCCTCGGAGAAACAAAGAAGCAGAGGAAAGAAAATGTAACAGGAGAAAAAATACTGATGTAGCAGAGGGGGCTGTTTCTCTTCGAATTCTGAAAAAAAAACAACCAAAACAAAACAAACACAACAACAACAACAATAAAAAACCCACAGTGTTTCTAATTGCACGCTGCGCCCGCTCGTCGCGGCGCCGTTAATTACGGTGAGCCTGGATTTGTGATGCTTCTCACTAACGAGCCGCTCGTTTTACAATGCCGTCAAGGCGCCGCTCTGGAGGCAAGAGCGCTTTGGTGCGCTGCGTGTGCGCCAGAGGGCGCTCGGGGCCGCTGCCTTCTGTCCGTCCCCATCCCTGGAGGTGTTCAAAGCGTGGTCCATAGAGACACGGCTACTGGTAAGCCCGTAGCGTTAGGTTGGGATTGCTGATCTTAAGGGTATTCCCGACCTTCTATGATAAAGGTGACACGAATGTATCATGTTACATATGGGGTGGGCTGCACGTAATACCACCAAGTGTAGTGGTAGTTTGACTGTGGCAAAAAGATGTCCTCCCTCCCCCTGAGATTCAGTTCCAGCAGCCCCCCAGCATCTTTGCCTGCTGGGTTCACCTCCCTGCTCCGGCAGAGTTCATGTGGTGGCAATAAGAAATAAAAAGAGGGTCAGCACAGGGAAGAGGGGACAAGCAGAATGCCAAGCTGATTGGCATGTTGTTTCCTCTGAAATGTCTCCTTTGTGCATGTGTATCAGTGACATGAGTCAGCTACAAACTAAGCTGCCTATGAAAACTTGACTTTGTTTAATAAAATACACCAGTTTTCAGGCTAGTTATATAGGGTCAGAGTGTGACACCCAATATAAAATAACAGCAAAATGGTTTTAAAAAAACAAACATATGGTTTCTTCAGATAGTTAAAATAATTACTTAGGAAGTTCCAACTCACACAAACAGAAGAAACTAGGTAGCTTTTTTATTGAAATGTGTGTCATTGGATGTGGAGCTCTTTCTTCAGAAAAGAAAACACCTTATTCAGAGCTAAAATTGGTAAATAACATTATTTTACTTCCAGAGCATCAGTTTAAAAAGAGATCTTTAGATCACATCTAAAACAAGAAAGAGAAAAGTTAAAGCCTGTATACCAACACTGAATTAAGCCACCTCAAATGTGAAGCCTGCTCTTCAAGCTTGGAATAGCCAAGGAGATACAGGTGCAGGTGCTGCAGCTCTGTTCACTGTGCCACCTTTTCTGTTAGCAGGCAGAGGGAAGGGGTAGCTTAGTGGTGTGGCAGATGCATGCATGGGAAACAGGTGTGGGAAAGACACCTTTGGGTGGAGAAGTGTGAGTGTGTCTTTCTGGAAGAGAGGTGTGGTATATCTTGTTTCAGAGCTGTTTTTTAGGCTGTGCCCTCATTGGAGAGAAAAAAGGGGCTTTTTTTGTTTTGTTTTCTTTTTTTTTTTTTTTTTTTTTTTTTTTTTTTTTTTTTACTCTGAAAGTTGCTAGCTCCTCGTGCTGGAGGTGAGCATGACCTGTAATCAGATTTATGCAAGGGCAATATTTGATGGTACTCTGTACAAAGCCAGCAACTGTGCTCCTCCTGTTGAGGAAAACAATTAAGCTGCATGTTAAAAATATCTCTGAGCTACTAGATTTCTTAATATTTAGAAGCCCTGAGCAGGTACAGGAAATTGCTGTTGAACAGAAGGCTATGGCTTGGAGTACCTGACCTTATGAAGCGTGTTTGATTTTCCATAAAGTGCAGTGAATATGATGGATTTGTAGAGTTCAGGCAGTCATTATGATACGCTTTACAATGGCCATTATTCCCAGGTGATGCTAAAATCTACCCTCCTTTTCCTTTGTGGATGAATTTTCTGCCTGTTTGCACTTTAATAGTATGCCATAAAACCAAAGATGCCAAATGATCTGAACTGGATAATGCTTCCGCCAATTGTAGAAGATAGTCTAAAGCTGGTGTTTCTTGTTTGTCTGGCATCCACTATTACTCCTAAATTAGTTTAATTTGTTCTGTTTGCTACTGAAATATAAAGGATGAAATTCCACCCTCAAAGAGAGAAGCCAGCTCACTGAAGACAGAAAAGCATTTTGTTCTTCTCATGTGGTCGGGCTGTAAGTACAGCAATAGCTACACGAAGGCATTGCCTGCAAAGAAGAAACTTTATGCGCATCACTGACCATACACTGTAGTACTAGGCTACTGGATTATTGGATAAGCATTTAGGGATGAAGTCATATTTGTTTTGTTTACAACAGCATGGGCTGCCACACTAATTTGCTTTAATTTGCTTTTATAGTCACCTTGAGAACTCCTGAGCAGGAAGTGACAGATAAGCATCATCACTTTCATGAAATCTTTGGCCTCTCCACAGATACTGCCAACAAGACATTAGAGCCAGCGACAGGTTTAAGCTGAGATACTGATGCATCTGCTCTTTGAACAGTTCAGTCGTTACTTATACAAACTTGTAACCACCTCACTTGGATTAACAGTCCATTAACTGCAGCTCTGTGGGTGAACACCAGCCTCACGTTAGAGCAGTGGTGGAGAACGGAGCATTGTGTTCACAGAGAGCTGACCTGCAAAAGCAAATTCCTCACTCTCCTGCCTCTGCTCTGGGCAAAGCTGCTTACCTTTACATGGCACTCCTTCCACTCAACCTGCATTGTTCAAGGGTTTGAATTCAGAGCACTCAAGGGGAAAACATTTATATAAAGTGCTGAAAAAATTAAGCCCTAAAGTTGTATAGCAGACATGATGGGTTTTTTGTTTTGTCCGTTTTGTGTTGCAGGTATTTTTTAGCCTACATGTTTTCACACAACTATGCTACCAAGCAATCTCAGTTCAATGAATAAAGGGAGAAGTGATAGTATTGTCAACATGATCAGGCAAAAATTTTGCTGAAAAATACTTGTTACATGGTTTCAGGGCTGTTTTTTTTTTTGTTTGTTTGTTTTGTTTGTTTGTTTGGTTTGTTTGTTTTTTCCTACTTCTAACAGTTATAGGCATTTCTAAGGATAAGAATAAGGAGGGAGTTAGAGAGATCCTTTTGGATTAGGAACATAAGGGCATAAGATTGTCTCCCGGTCGTGGAGCTGCTCCTAACAGGATACGGTCAGTGGAAAGTGCACTTCAAGGAACAGTGAGCATGGAGGGCAGACAGGGCTCAGGTACAGACTTGTGCAAGAGTGCAGTGGGAACAAAAGCAGCACTTTAATTTGGAGCTCTGCGTGGAGAAACATTGCTCTGTAGCACAGGTGACCTCTCCCTGTGAATCAGAGGCTGGAGAGGAGTCTGAAGCTTAGCAAGTCCTTTGCCTGACTTCATTGCCAAGAGCACAGCACGGCTCCCAGGAGCATGACCCAGCCGAGGGCTGGATGCTGCTGGGGCGGCTCACGCCAGATTCGCCAAGCACCAAGGAGACGTACGCCAGGCGTTGGTCGCCTTTATGTCATTGCACGCTCTCCAAGCTGGGAGGAGCTCGCATGCCCTAAATCGCATCCCACTTCAGGCTGAGGCACCAACTTTACAGGATCTGGACTCCCTCTTTACCCACCGCCTTGCCTCAAAGCGCTCGCTTACGGACTGCTGCCCCCGAGGGCACCTCGGAAGGCGATGGCAGCGGCGGTACCGCTGCACCCCCGAGCCCTGCAGCCACCCTCCCTCCCCGCGCACCTCTCGGGCCGCCTCCGAGCACCCGGCACCGCCCCTCCGCAGGCGCGGGGCTATAAGTGAGGGCGGCTCGGAGAGGGGTACAGTGCTGGAGCCATGGGGAATCGTGTCACCCGCGGGGACTTCGAGTGGGTCTATACTGAGCAGCCCCACACGCAGCGCAGGAAGGAGATCCTGGGTACGTCGGGGAGCTGCTCCGCACAGCTCACAGTGCTGCGGGCTGGGCTGGGCGAGGCGCGTACTGCACCTGTGGCTGTGCTTCCTTCGGTTCGCAGCTACTTCTGCATGGACAGCCCGCGTACGTGTTAGAAGGCATATTGGAATCCGTTTTTTTCTGTAGCAATCTATCTCTTCTCCTATACGATGATGTACGAACCTCTCCTACACGATGGCTTGTGATCTATATGAACCTCATAAGTTTCTTTTAAGCTGTTTTCACAATTTCCACTTCCAGCTCAGTTTGGTGCATTACTTCAATTTACTCGAGTTCAACAGAGGGGCTTCTACTACATGCAATTTTTCCCCCCTCCCTCAGTAGAACTGTAAAATAAATGGGGGGAGTGGTGGGTGTTCGCTGGAGAACAGCAAGAAGCGCTGCTGCTAGCACAGCTGTACAGCCTGTATTTTTATTGTGTACATGTAGCATTTAATTGCATACAAGCACATGGGGTTGGGGAAGCTTTCACTTTTGGGGAGTTGGGAAGTTTAGGATTTTCTGAATGAGCAATAGTTCAGAACTGTTACAGAATATAGTTGCATATTTCTTAAAATATGCTCCAACACTTAATCAATAAAGGAGATTTTGCCTGGTTTTTCCTTCTACCTAATCAGTATGATGAAGTTTTTAAGTTTCCTTTTTATGAAGGAAGAAGCTGGGGCTGTGGTAATCAGGTGCAGCTCCTCCACGCTCCCACAGTTTAATGTAGGATTACTCTGAATTACAAAAACATTTCCGGCATAGTTATGATGGCAGAATATCTTGCTCCATATTAAGTTATATCTGGGAAAATAATAATTGTTTTTCTCTGTAGTAATGATAGAGAGGCAAATGATGTCATTATATAAAATAAAGCCTCTGGCTGTTGCGCTGCTGATTCTTATAGTTATGAGAACTCTGGGTGAGCTTTGAGCAGGAAGCATGTGCTGTAGGTCTCTCCCTTTGCTGACCTTCCACTCTCCTAGTGCTGCTGTGGCACTGGGAAATGGAGACCCAGAGAAGCTGGACAGAACAATCTGCATCTGACAGGGCAGAAGGGTCATGAGTTCTGAAATGTTGCCAGAAGTTGCTGTTGAAATTACCTTGCTATCCCACATGCTATTGGTGTAAATCACTGCAACCGTGTTGCTCAAAGCATGAAGGTCAATTGCTCCCAGTACCTAGTGTCCTTACCAAAGGTCTGGTGTCTTTTGGGTGGAGCTCTTCTCTTAAATCTTACATGCATATGAATATGTACCTCGAAATACCCATGTGATTTACATTTTTGTATATAGCATTGCTTTAGGGTCAGAAGCATTCTTTGCTGATAAAGGAAGTACTTTCCTCCCTGTGGGTTAATGATTTAGTAGTTAAGCACCAAAGCTTGATTATTTTCTGTTGAGGTTGTAAGTTTTGGAAATGTTGATCTCCCTCAGGTATGGCTACTTGATTTAAATGCAAATTAAAAATCATCTATTAGAAAAAAAGTATAGGCAGACTGACAAACTCATCTGGCAATTTCCCTTTACAGAAGTGGTATTTTCTTACCTGGTCTTCCAGCATGTTTCTATAGAGAAGCTGAGTTTCATGTCCTGGTTCAACTGTTAGCAGCCCCAGTGAGTCTATGACTTTGTTGGTGATGATAGAGATATTTTTTATCATTCGAAGATGAGTTCCAAGTTCCAGTCTTTCAAGATTTCTGGTTGCAGCAGTTACACTGATTCCTAGACAGCAGCCCCAGCAGATATAACCCAGGGTTTTGTCTCTGAGGTAGATGGTTATCCATCGAGTGGATCAGCTGTGTACTGCAACTGGACTGGCTAGAAGCTAGCTTACAGCAGGACTATTGCAACAGATGAGTCTACAAGGGATGCAGTTCCTAACTGTTACAATTATGCTAGCAAATAGACTGACATGTTGCACAAAGGAGAGGTAGTACTTTTTCTCTTTGTAGTATCTACCTCTAAGACTCCAGCTTGTACTGCATACCTACCAGCTGCTTCTTAAGATACTAAGGAACTCTCTTTTCCAAGCTGATACTTCAACCTTCATCTTAAGCTCACATAAAACTGAAAAACGCAGACAAAGTTAATTAAACCGAATCATTTCATTGCTTCCTTCTCGCCCTCCTGTTTGTGAAAAGCCTGTTTCTGTCACGTACCAGAACTGAGATTGGGGTGTACTGCTATGGTGAACTGTATCTGGGAAATAACTGCCTGAAAACTAACCTGATGGAAGAAAGCCTCATATCTGCCTCGCCTAGCTATATAGTTATGCAAGTGCTATTAGAGGGAGTGACCGGGTAGAAAGTAAAAAGAATATGGACTTTTAGTAGAATTAAGAAGTCTACTTCATTGTAGGTAAGGACCTGCTAGATTGAAGCACATGTAGTACTTATGTAAGATCACAGTACTGTTGAAGATTGAGTTTTGTGGGTTTTTCCTCAAAAAAAAAAAAAATAAAAAAAATAAAAAAAAAAAATCAGAATTACTACCAACATCTGAGCAACACCATAAGCATACAGTGAGCAGTCACTTCATCTGCAAACAGTCTTCCAAATGCAAGCAATGAGTAATATATTGTGGAATGAAAAGAATGAGATCTTGTTTTGATCCAACCCACAGCACAAACTTCATAAAATTGCTTCAGGTTGGTCAGAAAAATGTCTTGTCTCAGGATCCTTTGAGAAGCATTTGTTTTCTTCCAAGGATGAGGGCTGAATCATTGTTCCTCATGGTAGGATAGGAGCAACCAATTAAGATCTGATGTCTAAGCACGGCTACATATTTGGCTATTCAGCAAGTTATTTGGTAGGGAGATGGCGCAGGTGTTTCATATGTACTTAATATTGCAGGAAGAACGAGATGTTAATTTATCAGCAGTAGAGTGAGGAAACTCAAAATGAAAATGCCTGAATCCATTTTATTTTTGCATTTAGGCAATTTGGAAATATCATCGTTTTCAGCCAAGAGGAAAGTTACTCATTTATTTAGAGATTAGTATTTCTTACAGTTGACTCTTATATTGCCTATTTAAACTGCATACTTAGGAAAAGTCTGATGAACTGTACCTACTAGAACATGAAAGATACATATCTCAATATATCAAAGCTCTGAATTGCTTATGCTTCTGGCAACAAAACAAGGAGCCTGTTTCCCCTTTATATTGCAGTATGTGGGCACAACACTTCCACTGATGTGCAAGTTCCCCAAACAGTGCATTCAGAGCAGCTGCTGTCTCAGTGCTCACGCCAATTCCCTATGGGGATCGTATGTAATATAAATCACATGAGTAGAAAGTCAGTGTTGTAGGTTCTCCTGATCTTCTGCTGACAATGTATTAAGTGCAACTGAAGATTTCAGCATACTCTATGTTCCTAGTGTTCCTCTATGTTGCATGAGTTTGTAAGAGAAAGTTGGAAGCACTCTTTTAGCTGTCCTATATCCTTTAACTTCTAACTAACTACTAAACAAGCACAAACAGATCATAGCTGCTGTAGTAATGATGCTGATACTGTTTCAGTTATGACCACCATGAAGTGCTTTGCATATGGTGAACAACACTGGGTGACCCAGCAACCTTGAACCTAGCAGCACAAAGCCACCTAGGAACTCATAGGTGATAGAAGGTTAAGGCTCTATTGCATAATGGAAATGTAAAACCTCTTTGTAATGAACTGGGTCCTAAAGATTTCTTATCAGTTTGCATACTGAAGGGGACAGAGAAAGAAGATATTTTTTTTTTTATGCCATCCTCTGCATGTGTCCTACCAGTGCCCTAGTACATGTGTGGTTTGAATGCAGAACCACATCAGATGTGCTGTGCCCTTTGCAAGTACGTTCACAAGCTAAGCTACTGAAAAGCAAAATACTGTGACATCAGCAAACTGATTTGCTTATTTCTGGTACAAATATCAGCCTCAGCGTAAGGCAGAGCCAACATCCTAAGCCAACATCTTATTTGATCTGCCACAGGCTCATGGAAATAGAGCATAGTCTAGGACAGAAGCATCGTAACTGCTGATTTGTTGTTTTTCCCTCTCCCCCCTGTAATTGGTCCTTGGAAGCAGTGAAATTACTTCTGATAACTTCTTTGTGATACTAGAAAAAGCATAATTAAGAATATCAGTAATCACATATAGAGGAAAACGTTGACTCACCTGACTGGAGATAGGGTCACTAGCTATAGTGCACTCTATCTCAGGAAGCAGCCTTCATCCAGAAGACATTCTTTTTTCAGAGGCTCACCCTTAAATGAGCTGAGGGAGACCCTGGGTCCCCTCCTTCCAGTCATGTGGAAAGCACAGGTGAATCTCTTGCACCTGTGCTTCCTGGGCCAGCTACCCTCTTCATCAGGTGCTCAATCATCAGCTCAGGCCGTGACTTAACATTTTCCATACACCCTCTATTTAACAGACCTTCTAAAAATGTTATGCTGAGTTGCGTGCTAACTTTAGCTATTCCTGCTGTGTTGAAATAAAAGATGAAAATAATTTCTTTCTCTTGCTACTACTAGCTTCTCATGGATATGGGCACTGCTGCTCCTCTATGTTTCTGAACAGCTCCATCTTCTGCCCATGTCTAGGTCTGGTGTCTACCAAACTGTGCTAACGAATCAGTGAGATATTCTGTTGCCCTTGCTGAAGTCTATCTGTGTCTCAGCCACTGTTCTTCCATCCATACTGCTGCACAAGTGGAAGTGCTGGTTTTTTTTTCAACTCCCTCCTAGAGATTTCTGTTACTCTGAGATTATGGCATGCAGATAGTGGAGCTGGTTGGACTGGGCAGTATTATTATCTACAGCTAAATGCTGTACCAAAGTACTGGCACTTCTTCTTCACCACGTGCTGACTTCGGAGAGGGAAGTCATGTTTGTGCACTGCTGTACATCTGCACCAGTACCCCTGCCCTCTTTGTGGCAATCTGTTGGCTCCTCCTGGACAACTCGAAGTAGTGCATGCGTGTCTTTGTTTCAGCTGGGACTGAATTGTTTTCTTCAGAGTGTCTGCTATGTCTTGGTTCTAAGAGAAAAACAATGTTGATAACAGACTGATGTTTGTAGTTGCTGCGAAGTAGTATTGTACAGTCAAGGCCATTCATGGCAAAGAGCTCAAGGAGCTGGGAGGGAACAGAATTAGAACAGCTGACTTAAACTGTCAAAGGGATATTCCATGTTATATAACATCAAGCAGAATGAGTTTTGAAGGGGATGGGAATTCATCTCTCTCTTGTTACTAAGGGGCAGCTGGGCATTAGTTGACTGGTGGTGAGCAATTGCTTGTGCATCACTTGTTATATATATTTGTATGCATATGTCATAATTATTATCCTTTTCCTTTTCTCTATCTTAGTAAATAGCTTTATCTCAACCCATGTGTTCTACTTTGTGAGAATGACTATGTGGTCCTCAGCCACCTGCCTGGTTAAACTACAACAATGCAAATAACCTGTCTGCTGAATGAGCTAACAGACCTTCCCAGCAAGCTGGAGCTGGATCCTATGCTAGAGAGACATGAGAGTAGCTGGGACCATCTTTGTCCCATTGTACTCCAAAGGGTGAATCCATGTCCCATGTGATCACATAAGTTTGTGTGCTTTGTTCTTTTTTCTTTTATCTAGAATGGCTGAATACTTGTTTGCTTTTCTCATATTACTGTTCTCCCTCTATGCTGTGATCACAGATAATTAACAGCTCACTATAAGTTACATTTTATGGTCATGTATTAGCACTGACTCGGTTCTTGTTGGGAAAGGGATGGACTCTGACCTTATGGAAGCCAGCCATATTAGTAATGGACAAGTGTTCAGGAAGGGGAAAACAAGTGATTTGGAAAAGAGAAGCATGATACAAATCTCTGCTCAGATGCATCTTAGTGCGAAAATCTAGCAGGCTCAAGAGGGAGAAGAAGTGTCTTTTTACTTCCAAAAGTACTATGCAGAGGAAATGAAAGTGATCTTTACAGTGTAGCTGTACAGGTTTTGTATTCCTTGAAGGCTTGTGGGGCTGCTTTGCACAAAGGCCCAATATCTGATTCTGTTGCTTTTGGCATGTGCAGATTGCTGACAGCTAATGCCTGGCTTGCACAGACCAGCTGGTCATCTGCAGACACTTGTCACAGAAGGCTGTCCCCATTATTCAATTGTAAATGCTATGTCTTTACTTCCTTCAACTCCTTCATCTAAATTCAAGGCACGAAGATGAGTGAAAAATGAGAAATAATAATACTTAGGTTGCCACATCTGCACACATAAGCACTATTTATTACTGCCGTCATCAGGACCACTTCATCCAAGCTTAGACATATCTCACTGAAGAGAGCATTGCTTCAAGTTTTGGAGGGTCAGCAAGTAACATTTTGCATTTACAATACTCCTGATGTGAAAGCTTCTCTGCAGACTACCCCAGTAGTGGGGCTTCAGCCTGCAATACTTTCAGTTCCACCTGTCAGCCTCCCCAGGGCTTCACCTTTACAGAATGAGGAAGTTATCAGCATTAATGATAAACAGACAGTGTTTTGGTTTAACTATTACACAAATGTACTGTTGGATAGAAGTTAATCATGTGTTGAATTTAATATTGAACCCTAGCACTATTTCATAGTTGTTATCTGTGATAAATGCAACCCACGTGCAGTACTGCTTGCAGACCGTGCTTCTGATGGTTAGAAGTTGCTGCTTTGAATCTCTCATAAGAGATTATAAACTAAAATCCTCCTTAACTGCAACAACAGAAAATTGGCAAAAAACTTTCAGTGCTCTCTAACTAAAATGTACAGCATAGCTAAGTGGATATCCTGGCACTCTGTGGTAAAATTTGGTACCTATCTAGGTATCAGGGAATGAGTTGCTGCATATTAGCATTTCTAGTGTGAAAAAGTATAATTTCTAAAGTTACAAAAACTTGGACTAAGAGGTTTTTATTAAAAACTTAGGCTGACTTCAGAACAATGTGAACTCATATTAGTTCTTTCCCATTGAGTAGTCCTAATGAAGATTTTGCCCCGTTGTCTGAACAAGGGGAAGAATCGAGAATATCCCTTTTCTCATCATCATTCACAGTACTTAATCTTCATCGTCTCTGGCCTCTGTCAAGCTAAGCTACAGGTGACCAACAGGCTGAAAATTGCTGGAATATTTATTTGCAGAGCATGACCACATCAACCTGCTTCCTTAAGTAGTGCTGTATCTCTCTGAACTACTGCAGATATCTCAAGGTTCATTCCTATAAAAATCCTCCACTCAGTGCCTGGCACTACTTTGCAAGGTCACATGAAGCGTATCATCTCCAGTGCTTGTTTGTAGTATATATACAGCTGCACAGATGCAAGCTGTCGTAGCCTTAAATGGTATAACAATGGCATTGGTATTGGTGCAATAGTCAGATGAAAATTAGTTTTCTTTTCACAAACTATACCTGTAAAACTTGTAGAGACACACTGTGTAACTTCAAACTCATAAAGAGTGACTTGTCCTACAGTCTTATTTATGAAAGCTGTTAATTACTGAGAATTGCAGAATATGAATAAAAGAAGAGAGGTCCGTGGGTGGATAAAACTGGAAAAACAAACATGAGAGTTAATACTGAAAGTTAGAGGTGGGATATTTATGAAGAGACCTGAAGTAATGAACAGTTCCTAGAAGATAAGCAGGGGTCTGTCTTGGGAGCGGTGCTCTTTAACATCTTTATCAATGATGGAATCAAGTGCACCCTCAGCAAGTTTGCTGATGACACCAAGCTGAGTGGTGCAGTTGACACAGTTGAAGGAAGGGATGCCATTCAGAGGGACATTGAGAGGCTAAAAAGGTGGGCCTGGGTGAATCTGATGAGGTTCAACATGGCAAAGTGCAGAGTTTTGCACTTGGACTGCAGGAATCTCAGGCATCCATGGAGATTGGAAGGAGCAGTCCTTGAGAGCAGCCCTGTGGAGAAGGACCTGGGGGTCTTGATAGATGAAAAAAACATGAGCCAGCAGTGTGCCCTTGCATCTCGGAAGTCAAATGGAATCACGGGCTCCATCAGAAGAGGGGTGGCCAGCAGGGACAGGGAGGTGATTGTCTCTACTCTGCTCTTGTGAGGCCCCATATGGAGTACTGCATCCAAGTGTGGGGCCCCCAGAACAAAATAGACAGGGAGCTGTTGGAGAGGGTCCAGAGGAGAGCCACAAAGATGATCAGGGGACTGGAGCACCTCCCCTATGAAGACAGGCTGAGGGAGCTGGGCTTGTTCTACCTGGAGAAAAGAGGGCTGCGGGGTGACCTCATTTCAATACCTAAAGGGAGCCTACAGAAGGGAGGGGAATCAACTCTTTGAAAGGATTGATAACTGCAGGATGAGGGGAAAGGGTTTTAAGTTGAAGGAGGGCAGATTTAGGTTGGATGTCAGGGGGAAATTCTTTACAGAGTGGTGAGGTGCTGGAACAGGCTGCCCAGAGAGGTTGTGGATGCCCTGTCCCTGGAGGTGTTCAAGGCCAGATTGGATGGGGACCTGGGCAGCCTGGTCTAGTATTAAATGGGGAGGTTGGTGGCCCTGCATGTGCCAAGGGGGTTGGAAATTCATGATCTTTGAGGTCCCTTCCAATCCTGACCGTTCTGTGATTTTGTGATTCTGTGATTCCATACTGTGAAAAGCTGTTGTGGGATTGCCTATGTGAGTTTCCTGCCTACTTCTGGGATTTGACTTGAGAACAGGCTCATTGGCTTGAAGACAGGCTCTCAGCAGAATGGGAACAACAAGTCACGTATCTTACAGATTCCCAATAATATTATTTACTTTCTAGTGATGTTAGTACTTGTAAAGACATGTGCATGTTGTAAGCACTGGCAAACACTCAAATACTTGCTTTTTTCTTAGTGCTGCAGTTGTCATATAACCACACAGTAAAACCAGGCGAGCCTGTTGCATGGTCTTCCTCTGCTGGTATGTCTCAAACCAAAGAATGGAAAGGATTACAAAGAAGGCATCTGTATTTCTTTCCTGTTGAAAATAGTATCTGGACTAAGCAAAAAGAAAGGGAAGTGAAAAAATGTCTTAAATCTGATGGTCACTGGTATTAATACTCATCCTCGTGAAGATAAATGGGGCCATGTGTTGACCATAGAGGTCATCATATGTACACACATGTATATTGGACACAATGCCAGAAATGGGAACAAAGCCCATACGTTGGTGAAGCCTTTTTGGTAGTGGCTTTGAAATTTCCATTTCGTAAGACTAGGGCCTCAAAAATAAGATGATTAAAAAATAAAGAGCACCAGCAGTGGTCATGTTTACCTTTTTGTGAGTCAATGAGATTTTCTCTGCATTTTTTCCCTTTAGCAAAATATCCAAGGATCAAGGCTCTGATGGGACCAGATCCACATTTGAAATGGATTGTATCTGGAATGGTTTTCACGCAGTTGCTAGCATGCTATCTGGTGAAAGACTTGTCTTGGAAATGGATTTTCTTCTGGGCTTATGCTTTTGGGGGTTGCATCAACCATTCATTGACCCTAGCCATCCATGATATTTCACACAACGTCGCCTTTGGGAACAAGCAGGCCAAGTGGAACCGATGGTTTGCAGTCTTTGCCAACTTGCCGGTTGGCGTTCCTTACTCTGCTTCCTTCAAGAAATACCACATAGACCACCATCGGTACCTTGGTGGGGACAGCCTGGATGTGGACATTCCCACGGATTTTGAAGGCTGGTTCTTCTGCACACCGCTTCGGAAACTGCTTTGGCTCTTTCTCCAACCTCTATTCTACAGTCTGAGACCGCTGTATGTGAACCCCAAAGCAATTACACAGATGGAAATTTTTAATGCCCTTGCGCAGTTTTCTGTGGATTTTATTATTTTCTACCTTTGGGGACTCAAACCTATTATTTACTTAATAGCAGGTTCAATTCTTTGCATGGGCTTACATCCCATATCTGGGCACTTCATAGCGGAACACTACATGTTCTTAAAAGGATATGAGACGTACTCTTATTATGGACCTCTGAACTGGCTCACCTTTAATGTAGGCTATCACATGGAGCACCATGATTTCCCCAGTATTCCCGGAAGCAAGTTGCCAATGGTAAGTACATCATAATCTCAAGAGAACTGGTAGTTTTGTTTTTTTTTACATTATGTGATTCTTTAGCAATAGTCTGAATTTCTCTACTTCCCTCTTCTATCTGTTTTTGACTTGTCAAAGTGTAAAGGACTGACAGGAGGAAACCACTACTTGAAACTTGTCTAATGGTCAATCTATATATTAATTATATTGCTTAATTAAGATCAAACAAAAATCTTTCTATTTTTTGAGATGACATAAGTACTGCAACATGTTCTAACTTGCTACAAATAGCAGTAGAAAATAAATTCCTGCTCTCCGTGACTTGTTTTAGCTCTGCTGCCCCACCCACTGAAACTGAGGCTGCCTGGCCTGTCACTGGGAAAATGTTGTGGCTTTACTCTTCTAAAATCAAATCTTTTTTTGTTTACATTTTATCAGTTGTGGGAATCAAACTTTCAAAGCCCAGATGTCTAGGAATGGTTTTGAATCCACTGCCAGCTGTGTAGTTGCTCTTCTGGATTTTGATACGAGATTTCCTCAGCAGCTGTGCTCACAGTGCCAAAAGGATGTGACTACAGTGCATTACTCCTACACCTAAATCCTCTGGCATGGTTGGGAGGAAACACTGTCTGTTGGAAGCTATTGCTGGAACTTCCTTGTGAGGAGGAGGCAGGGCTGAAATTATGGTGCTGTGACCTCCACACTACTGCATCACTCAACTTCTATGATGGTGTATCCAGGAAAATTAAATTTGGGAACCCCATTTTATGAATTAATGTTAGAGTCATAGAATCATAAGGGCTGGAAAAGACCAGTAAGACTGTCTACTCCAAACACTGATTCATCAATAACCCATTTTCTTAATCACAAAAACATTGAGAGGAGGTGTGAAACAAGATAGAAGAGTGCAGAAAGCACGTATACCAAATGAGTGTGTATATAGATATTTATTTATTTCTTTATTTTTAGTTTTTCCCCTCTCCCCCCCTACTGCTGGAGCTCTCTCCTGAAGAAGTTGACTGTTCTTGATGGGTTTCAGTATTCACATGTGATGTTCTCCAACTCCTCTTCCTCTTCTATCTCAGCTAGAAAGTGGGCTTAGCTTTAGCTTGAAATGTTCAAACTTGTTAGATAGGCTTAGATACTTAGCTTACTGAAATGTAAATACAAAAGCAGGAGGTTAGCTCTCTTATCTCAGACAAAGGAGGCAAGTGACGAATTGAACTTACTTGGATTGTTGCTCCAGATCTGAATGAAACCTGAAAAGCTTTTCCCCACCCACATCACAAATAGTTTAGCCTGACTCCTCAAGGCAATGAGCAGATGGAAGTGTCTGCACTCCTCTGTAAAGAGGATAGAGCTATAAGCTGAATTTTATGAACTTGTCTTCATCTGTTTCTAGCTTTAGGGCACCTGAGACTTGCCCTGCTGGTAGAGGAGGTACCAGGTTTGTCATTCACTGTTACGTGATAGAACAACATGGAAAATATTGAGTCACTGGCAAATGAACAAGTGAAAAATCTACTACGAGGTGGAATATCTTCGTAAAAACAGCTACTGCAGAAAATAGTGTCTTCCTTGAAACAAGTTGGCTGTTCTTCTCTGCAGATTGAGACAAAAAGTTCTTTGGAAGGGGAGGGTACAGGCTCTCTGGACAGCTGTAATGTTTGAACTTAATGACAAATAGGGGTAGAAACCTCCTTTTCTTTCTCCTGTTTACCTGCCCAGCAGATTCTTCACTCAGTAACTCTGTTGTCTCTTTAGCACTCAAACTTTTAATAGTTTAACTGTATTTAGTTTCAAATATTGGCAAATTTCAGTTGGGAAAAAGGTCCTTTCTTTGTTCTTGCATGAGTGAATGGAGAAGAGAATTAAGATCAGAAAATATTTTAAGTTTGGAAACTAACTGAGTCTTCCATTTGCTTATCAGAAGAGTGAATTTTGTCCTTTATTACGGGTGTTTCATCCAGTATGTGCTTTCTGAGTAATATGTTTGCCACTGGAAAGACCTTTACCCTACGACTGCGGCACATTTGAAAGAGGAAGAATTAAACTGTGCCATAAGCTTACAGAGTTTGCAAATGAGTGACATGAGTGCACAGTAAGAACTCGTCCCACTGGTATAATGAGAGATTACACAAGAGAGATTTTAACATTATAATGAATTATAACATTATAATTTAACATTATAATGAAGGACTTGCTCTAAAAGCTATAGCCATAGACTTATGACTAGGTTAGCCTTTCAGTGAAGCTTTAAAACAACAAAATATTGTGTTACTTACCAAAGGAATAAGAAGATTGATTCTTCATTATCTGAAGAATTGAATATACTTTTGATGAGAGGGAACACAGAATAAGGAGGAACTTGGTGCTCTTCCTACAAGCTGCAGTAAAAACTGTAACATTACCAGAGGCAAACTAGTTATTCATTAAGCTTGTGAAAGACATGGCATGAAACGAGATTTTATTAGATAGACAAGACTGGGAAACACGGTAGATGTACTTCATTTGAATTGCAGATTTCCTTAACCCTGTGATGGCCAGGAAGGCTAGCTCGAGTTCTTCCTCCTTCCCCTACAGTCAAGAGTACAGAAGGAACTTTTGTACTTTGCTTTCTAGCATTCTACACCTCATTTTTCACATTTTGTCATAGGGGCCTCTAGCTTCTGTTTTGCCCCAGGAGAAAGTCTCTAGCACCTGTGTTGTAATGCCACTAGACAGTATCTGCTACTGTGGAGCAGGATGGGTGACAAGAAGCAAAATTTGAACCCAAAAGATGTGATTTATTATCTACTATCTTGATCTAATTGAAAAAAAACATCCATATACTACACACATGGCACTTGTTAAGCTTATTACAGAATTTAATCTTGGGTTATCCTTTCATAATTTCCATTCAAAAACTATCGAACGCTTCCAAGTTGAGATCTGTAAGGAGGGAGGGAGGAACTGAAGCAAATGGACCCTTTCCAATGCAATATGGAGAGCTTGGAATGAGGGAGCCAAGGGCAGGATCAAAAAATACTGTGTTACAATACAGTTCTTTCTGAGATGTTGGTAACACTGTTTGCAAAAATTGCTACCTGTAAAAAATGCCATCCGCGGGTTTTGTTCTGCAACCAGAATGGAACGTGGAGGATGACTTTTCCAGTCTGAAGTACACTTAACAGATGTATAGTAACATCACACTTAAAAAGGAATCAGCACATTTAAAAAAACTAATCCTGACCAGCTGTGTGGACAGTAAAGAGGAGGCCATTTTGTTTTGCACACAGGGATTCTGAGACAAATAGCAATAGGCTGTTTTTGTGTATATCCATGGGAGAAGATAAATTTGTTCACTTGTTTTTTCTCTCCCATGCGATGGCAAAATGGAAAGAGGCACCAGACTTCCACATCCTTTCCATTAGAAAATCCTTCAAGATATCACCTCTCTGTATTCACTAAACTTTCCTACCACACCATTATTTTGTCAGAAACATTTTATAATGGTTTCTCTTCTCTCCCTGATTTGTATACACTTGTATAACCTGTATACACCTGTGCAGTTTTCTTGCCTGGAGTGTAGAGAACTTGCAGAAGGTGCACATCCTGCCAGCCATCCTGCACCAAATGCTGTTGAGCACAAAGGCAAGCAGGAGCAAAAAGCCACTGCCCCAAGATGATCCAGGGTAACCTGCTCCAGAGCAAGACCTTGGCCATCTCCTATGGTTTCCACACTAAGGTTTTATTCAAAATGAGATGCCATTAGACCCTGCAGAGAAGTGCTAAATCGACATGCTTAGTGAGCAAGCAAGTCCTCCATCACTTGGCCTCAGCAGTGACATTCACTCACCCAGGGAGCACACTGTCCAAACAGTTCTTCCTCATCATCTGTTTCACTTACATTAAATTATTAGTGACTGTGGTCACAGGAGCTGAGCAGGGATCTAAATCTGCTTTTCCAGAGATCTTACCCAGTGCCTGGACATTATCCTTCTTGTATCCTTCATATAGCCTCCCAGTCGGCAATTTCTGCACAACATCAGAGTTTCACTGAAGGTCTTCACTGTCTTCCTCACAACTGGCTTTTAGATTCTGCAGTGTTTTTTAAAGGACAAGTCATGCTGCCCAGCTGCTCTGGTACAGAGCCTTGTTTGTCTAGGAGGTGGAGTTTTAATAAAACAATGCCCAGCTAGTTTTTTGTGAAATGTACAGTACCAGCTGCTTTCCTAAATGTGTTTCAAAAAAGCAGAGCATTTGGCTGGAACACTGACAACTCAGGAATTCTCACAGCCCTTTGAGACTGTCAGGCATGAAACCTCCTCATCCTACAAACATCCCAACAGCACACAGTGCTTCTGTGATGGCAGCAGTTGTAAAACTTGGAGATTTGTAACAGGAATAAAATTGTGTCAGACTGATAAATCTACTGACGAACCTTGAGGCATTTCTTGCAATGGACAGAGGAGGAGAAACAACGCCGGGATCTCCTCTGCCTGGAGAAGGAAATCAGATTTGTATCAGGGGAGTGGAATGGAGGAAAGACTAGGAAGCACAGCCCAGGCTGTGTCTTCAGCATTTTCTCAATTGCTGTTTCTCCCCTACCCGGAACTCTCTGCAAACAAGTATTACAAGTTGCAAACATCACTTTAAATACAGCGTGTTGGAGTTCTGGCAGTTTATGAGGTGGATTAGTCATCTTGTTATGGAAATCCTCCACCTCCCAAGCGAGAGAGATTTGGTTCTGACTGAAGGCAGAGATCCATCATCCGTTAAATCCTAACACTGTCAGGCAAAACTTGTGTAATAAATCTGCTAAATATCTAAATGTTCTTAAGTCTATCTCGTTCGACTGAGCTTCAGAAACCTCACAAGCAACAAGTAACTTCAGTTTATGGCAGTGCTATCATATCTAAAAAATAAGACCAAAGTGCACTTGACACCATGCAGCTAAATAGCTCATTCTCTCTTTTGTTCTTCCAGGTGAAGAAAATCGCTGCAGAATACTATGACAACCTCCCCTACCACCAGTCCTGGATTAGAGTCCTGTGGGACTTTGTATTTGATGACAGTATTGGTCCTTACTCAAGGGTTAAGAGAAAATGCAAACTGGCAAAAGAAAGCTAACAGAGCAGCTTCAGCTGCTGCAGTAGCATTTTGTTTGTTTGAATGGTTTGAGTGCTCTGCAGAAGAAGGATGCTTTGCTTGATGTAGCATTGCTACGCGCTCTTGGGACGAAGAGGATGAGTGTCTGCACTATTTAAAATACTGATATTTTTAATAAGGGATATTTTATGTAACCTTAAAAAACTAGATGAGAGCAAGCCACACTCGCATGAATCTTGGTCTAGAATTAGAATTAACTTCCTGGGACATGTGCGTCCAATTTGGAGTTTTGGCCTGGTCTGCAATGAAGAATATTTGGTCCATGAATGGGCGTGCTTGTGTTTAGGTTAGGACTGGTTTCTCTTCATGCCAAGCTAGATGTAGATGCTTTGCATGCATCAGACTGTGGAAGCAGGGATGACTGGCATGCAGTAGCAAATGATACTTTCTAGAGAGCACAAGGGTGCCCTCAACTCAAAGCATTGCCTAAATATCTTGTGCCTGACAATAGCTGCTTGCAGTGATTTTGTATGTGAAATGGAATACATGTGTTTTGGTGTTGTTTTTTTTTTTTTTATATCTGAATCAATATTTTATTAGCTGCTGTTTGACCTCTATTTCAGGGCTTTTCCTAAACCTTTTCTGAGCCATCTCTATTCTTAGTATTTGATGTTCAGTGTAACTTATTGACAGAGTTGAATTGAGATGTGGAAAAACCCTTTCTTTCTTTAATCTTCAGCTCACTGACCAGCAATGTGGCATACTGCAGCTCGTGTTGTGAGAAATGGCTAATCCTTTTCCACTCATCCTTTCAACAGTACTCAGAATTTCATATTTCCTCATACCTTTCACTACTAGAAGCCCCTCTGGGAGTGGAAGGGTTCTAGTTTAAATTGCTCCTTATAAGGGCTTTTACTATTCCTGATCATCTATCATGGTCTTCTGTGTATTGTACCTATTTCTGTGGATAGGAGTCGCTATCACTGAAGACACTGGAGATGTTATGGTGACATTTGTTCCTAATCACTTTCAGTACAGTTCTAACTTTTTCTGTGATTCAATGGGAACTGACTCAGCAATCAGGAAGCATGTGTTATTCCAGCTATAAAAACCATCCCTAATGGTGATAAGGGGATATAAATGGGATGTGGTGCTGGTGTTGTTTCTCTCCCTGCATGCAGTATATTGCACTATTGACATTGACCTAGATCTGCCATTTCTAGCCCTTGGAATAATTCCATCTTCCTGCCTCTCTTCTCCAACCACCAGCTTCTGGATACCCTCAATAACAGTATTTCATCAAAAAAAAAAACCTTAGTCACCATACCGTTCTCCATGCAGAAAATACTGAAAAATTTCTTGGGAGCTAGGAGCTCATATGTCATCTAACAACTCCCCTGCACTCTGGAAAGCTGACCACTTATATCTGTCCTTACTAAGTGGACAAAAGAGAACAGATCTACAAAGGTTCTCTTAAAAACTGAGAGTTTAATCCCTCCAGTGGTTTTGACTTTTTGTTTTCTTCTAGAAATCCATGTATGTTACAAATGTGGAATAATAATTCCCTATATGTTGAGCTCTTCAAGACCATTACTGGACCTGGGATGCCCGACTTCCTCAATAAATACAGTTTCGTTCTTATCTCCTACAGCACTGCACCCAGTGAGTCATATTGGTATGACTTTTTGGCAGTTTGTCTCAGTCCTGCTGGCACTTCATGATCAGATATTCAACTTCCAGTGTCCTTAGTGTTTCACAACTCTCAGCCAATTTAGTAAGCAAACATAAGAAGAATATTAAAGATTATTGTGTTCCTCATTCTGTGTTATTCCTCTGTAGAGAATGACTTTTCTCTAGCTCCCTTAGCTGCTCTACAGTATCATTAACCTACTTGATCCACATGTTAATAGCCAAGCCTGATACAGAAACTACACTATAAACTGAAGGTAACAAAAGTTGTTGACTGTGTCTCACCTGCACAGCAGCTGTGTTCCCATTCTCCTTTGTCACAGTCCTCCCATTCTGCAGAGGGACTTGAAGGTGCTGGAAGTCCTGATATCTGCTGTGCTCTCAAGCAGCAAAGTACCAGTTTAAGAGGATCACTGGTCTCCTGGTGAGGTTGATCACAGCAGCTGTTCTCTACCCTTAACACCTAACAGGTAGCCTCAGAACTTCAGTGATGGGATGGATTTATAGTGCTGAGTAAAGCACCTGGAGATGGGACCAGGTGTTATTGCTTCTACCAGCTAAGCCCCCCTGTCCATCCTGTGCACCTTGGGACTCTGCTCCCATTAAATGGCCCTGAACAAACTTCAGTTGATTGTCTCAATGACAGGAGGTGTCACCATAGGACCACGCTGTATCCAGGCTGTACTCAACCTTGTGACAGTGTGGTTATCGCTGACTGTAGGTGTAGTGCCACACTCCAAGGTAAAACATGAACTGAGCTGGGGCCCAAATTTGTCAAGCTTAGTATTTTTTAATCTTTGTCAAGATTAATAGAGACTTTCACAGAATGGCTGTGACTATCTGTGAGGCAGAAGTTCAGAAAAGCACTTGCTGTTGTCAGGTATGCCATCAAATAGCATAGGACAAGGGGTAAAGGCCTTACATTGCACCAGGGAATGTTCCAGTTGAGTATTAGGAAAAGTTTCTTCTCACAAAGAGCAGTACTGCATTGGCACAGGCTGCCCAGGGAGGTTGGGGGGTCACTGTCCCTGCAGATGTACAAGAAGTGTGGAGGTGTGGCACTGAGGTGTATTGTTGGTGGGCATGGTTGGGTGGGTTGATGGTTGGACTAAACGATTTTAGAGGTCTTTTAATTATTCCATGAAATGGTTTTATAATTAAGAAACACATGAGATATTGTATATTTATACAGCAGACTATAATAAACTTTAGTGATGTTTGGCTGAGTTCTTCCTCCCAGAAAGGCTCTTTCTCCTGGTCTTGGAGCTGTAGTGTTGTGTTTCACATCCATGCCTTTCTGCTTTAGTTCCCACATGAACATCTTATCCTGCTGTCTATCTTTCTCTAGCCAGGTGGGAAGCCAGCACTAAACAGCTAGCAGATGTCAGGCTTGGACTGCAGATTACCCTTCAATTAAGCTTAAATTTCCCTCATTTATCTAGTATTTAGGTTTACAATGTAACTGGAAAAAAAAATGTTTTCTAGAAGACAGATGGGGTGGCTTTGAAGATTGCTGAAGGACAACTGCAAGCTCTCCAAGCCAAAGCACATAAAAGTTTATAAGTAACCAGTGAGCCTGCCCCACCTCTGCCCTCCTGGGCATCTTGCTGCTTGAAGGCAGTCACACAGGATCATGGAATTGGGTGAGAAGGGAGCCCTGGCCCAAGCCCTGCTCTAGCAGGGCCCCACAGCAGCTTCCTGGTCCCTGCCTGAGGGCTGAGGAACAACCATGGCCCCTGGGGCTCTGCAACAGCCCCCCTGGACCTGGTTTACAACATGAAGCCATCAGGAAGGCCCAAAGCAAGGTGGGGGAGCTCGGGAAACGCTGATTTCCACAGCTGAACTCCCATCACTTTGTGTCTTTTACACAAAGCTGTCCAGGAGATTGTATGATATCTGCTGCCTTGTAAATTTCACACCAAATCAAGTCGAGCAGAAATTCTCAAGATTGCACCGATGGAAAGAATGGTAGCAAAGAAAAGAACACGTGACCTGATAGGTAAGAGCAAGTGTGTGATGAAGTGCTCAGCCATGCTGATGCAGCATCCCATACTCATTTCTGAGACCTCAGCTTCCACAAAATAAAGGTCAGCAAAGCCTGCACAGAGTTAACAGATGGAAATGGGAAATATTAATGAGTGACTCCCATAAGCCTCTAGTTCAGCAGCACAGCATGTGGGATTTCTGCTTTGCTGTGGCCGCGCTGCCCTAATGCCTTCAGCAGCCTTGCTCTGAATGACCCCCCTCTCCTCCCAAAAGCACAAACAGGCACGAGTGGTGGGATGTGTGGGTCTTGTTTTTACTGAGGAGATAGAGCAGGACAGTTAGTGATGGCCTGAGGCAGCCATAAACTGCCACCCTCCACTGATTTCAGCACTCCCCAGGTGAGTCTTCATCATCACCCTCCCCAAGCCAGTGAGGAAACATCAGCTGACATTACAGTGGAGAAGCTGAAGGGGTTAATGATATAAACAAAGGCAGGGCCATGTGGACAATAAACAGTTTATTACCAATATGAACACAGATACTGTGATGCAGACGTACCATTTTTTTTTTATATTGTGATAACTCTGAGACAAAGAACTTGTTGGCTGACAACTAACATGTCTCTTTTCTTCTGGTGATGCCACAATACATTTCTGTTGGCAAAGGATCTTCATTTACATTGCAGACTACTAATAAAATTACTTTGAAGTCATCTATCAAAAGCAAATGGTTCACGTGTGTTCTTATCTACTACTAAAAAGAAAGGTAATACATTTAAATAAGCAAATACAAAATACAAAAAAGGCTGACAAATCCAATGTGCAGTGTCAGATGAAATCTAAAAAATCCAGAAATTTAAAATTTAATATTCTTTAGATTAAGACTTTTAAAATGAAGCAAATCCAAGGCAGCAGCAAGCTTCAAAGTGTGCTGAGTCTGCTAATAAAAAGGGTATAAGAACAAAGACAGTGCCGGTGTCCTCTCTCACCATCTTGCGTGACCTTGGTACACTCAGAAATGATTCAGTCTTCCTAGCATTCTTAGTACCGTCCAAATGCTTTGCAATCATGTTGTACTGATCCTACTCAACTCCTGCCGTATGGCTAGAAAACCAAACCAAAAAAGTTAGCGCAGAGCATTCTACCCAGCACATGGAAAATGCTAAGTACAGAGCTTGCAGAAAGTACACGCCAGTAAAAGGATGAGTGGAAGGTAAAAGGATGAGTAAGGGTGAACAGTCAGCTGTTTGCTTGCAAACTGCAGTAGTGGTTTAAGTGGCACCTGCGATTCATGTGAATGTCTTATTTTGCACTGGAATGAACTGGGGAGTCTTTGAGGGCCAAGCTGCTGGGACCATAGCGAACGGGCAAGGGTGTCCTCAGCTGCCAACTGCCCAGCTGTTATGAGCACGCGGTGCTGGGGGAAGGGCAGCGGGCATGGCTTTTAGCTGTTTGACAGTCTCCTCTTTTTCCCCTTTCATATGAAGCTAAGTTGGGAAATGCAGGGTGTGGATGTGGATCTTCGCACGCCCTAATGCAGGTGTCTATAAATAAATAGGTAATTTGCTGTGCGTGTCATTAATAGCAGCATTACGCTGTCTCATGTTGGCCTTGAAGAACGTATTTTGTCACAAAATGTAAAGCAATTTATAAAAAAACTGCTGAAACATTGCATTTCACAGTTAGAAAAATATGAGGCTATTCAGATTGAGTTAACTGAAATAGTTTTTTGAGCACAAGCATCCTCCAGAGGATGCTCAGAAAGGGTTTCCAATTTGGTACACTTGACCCTTCCTGTGTCAGACCAGTTGCGTGCGATTTCACACTCCCCAGTTGTGGTGAACTGATGTGCCTTGGGGTTTTGGGCCAGTCCTTTCTTCCACTCCCACCTGTGAGAGGCACAGGCCAGTGACTTTTTCACAGGTTGGAGTGAAAATGTGTGTCAACAGCATAAAGATAAAGGATGCGAATATAGTGTTATGACCAAAGACTGGTTGAGGTAGAACGTTTTTCTTCAGATGTGTATATAAATCAGAGCTGCACAGACAGGTCTGAAAACACCAGGAACTCCCTGCAGTGCCTATCATCTTATCTACAGGAAATTAGTCATAAAGGTGAGAAAAATAATGATTTTTCTCTTTCTTACCATCAATTATCTCCTCTTTCACTTTGTGTAACTCTCTTACAACTTCCTCCAATATTTCCTGATGAGACAAAACACAAGTCAGCTGCTCAGCATTTCCTTCTGACTGGTGGAAGAAAACGCAAGTTTAACACGGTCGTGGTGGGTCCCCCACCTCCGCGGCTGCTCAGAGCCTAGTTCTGCTTGCAGCTATGGCTGCACTCCCAGGCCAAGGGTGCAGCAGAGGCTGGGGCATTTATTTGCACGTTTCGTACAGTCATCTTGCTCAAATAGCAGTGAGATTGTGCTCTCTTGCTGCTCACCAGCTATCCTTTCTCTAAGCACCTAGTCATAGAGGAAACCAGAAGACTGAACAGCTGTTTTGCTTGTACAGCGCATGCATGGGGGAAAATGGGTAGCTCGTCAACTCAGGTGTGAAAAGACCTTTCAACTCACCTGTTTCATCCGATCAAAATCTAAGGCATCCATAGCCACATCATTGCTGCTGCTCACTGGCTTCATCCTTGATAAAGGGAAGAAGAGAACAAAATGCCGGCCCATCAGTGTCTGCAGTGTGTGCTGAGCCACCCCCCCATAGAGATGTAGGTGCAGCCAATGCCAGAGCAGCAACATCCGTATGGGAGAGCTGGACTAGGGACTCTCCATGTGCTGCGGGGCTGCGTCCTCAAGGAGGCTGCTCTCAGCCTTCAGTGGAGCAGAGAACACATGTAAAATAATTGTGCTGAAACCACATTCAGGATTTTTTGGGGGTTGTGGTCCTCCATGACTTTAAATTACAAAACACTGGGGTGACCTAACAATACACTTCATTACAGCACTAGCAATTTGCAAGATAGATGTCTGGTTTTCTACCTTTCTCAATCCATTTTTTGTACAACCACCCTGTCTTGGCTATCTAGGCTTTAATAAGCTGTTAAAATAGTAAAACACAGGTGGGCATAAGGCTAACCCAGTAATAACCCAATAATCCTTTCCTTGGGAAGGCCTGACTCAAGCAGAGCTTTGTGATAACACTGCACAGCACAGGCACTTTGTCATGACCCAGAAGCAAACCCAATCTGCCCTTAACACATTTGGGTGTTATCAGCCTTTCTGGACTGTATTAGTCCATAGGCTGAACTCTGCTGATGGCTGTGAAATAACATAAAAAAGCAGAAGCTGTCTGACTTGTCGTTTTAACAATTTTAAAACATCTCAGAAATGAATCATGTTAAATAATTCATAGAAGAGGTTTCAAATAACTTTGCCATCATTTCAGGGCCCAAACTGAGGGCTGGCTGAGATCCCACCGCCTCTGCGAGTGTGTTTGGTCTCACAACTCTTTCTTGGGAAAACCTTCACATCTTGCTACAATCTCAAAATGAAGTTGAGAGGTAAGACAGATACAAACGTCATCAAGCTGATTGAGAAGGAGACTGGCCACTGCTGGGAGCTTCTGCACAGTGCCCCTCTCTCCCTGAGGAAGTCAGACAAGCAGCAAACACTGAGCATTACTCAGGCATTAAGCTAGCAATGGATTTTCCCTCACTCAACTCCTCCCAAGGTGGAATGACTTTGTAGAAACGAGTTGGCACAAACTTGATGGCTGCTTTAAATAGCTCACATTTCATTCCTTTCTGCAAGGAGAAGAAATGGTCTTTCCTATATCTAATGGAAACACACAGCAGTGTCCCATTGATTTTAAGAAAGCAGGCAACTGCATTTCACCCTAGGAACACTGAAGCACCCTTCAATTTTTGGACAGGGCATGTTCTGGCATCTGTAGCACAGGAATAGGTAAGCACAGATAGTTGCCATTGGCAATTTTCTTTCTTCTTCTATCACTGTAGTACAAGTAGGTGCAAAACAAGGGGCATTGCTTTGCAGTAAATGGTAACTATATGCAACTCCTTTCACTTATCCAGCCATCTCAGTGCTCGGTACTGCACGAACAGAACATGAGGTGGGCCAGCTGGAAGAAGTCTCTCTCTTTCACTGCCCAATACCGAACCTCAATCTCCATCTTAATGGGTAACAACTTGAGTGATCACGCACAGTGTGGCTGTTTTCACTAATGGGGTGGCTGGATTCCTGCTTCAGGCTTCTTGGCTTTCTTCAC